AACGTTTCCCCACCCAGTGGCTTCATCAGCCCAATAAAAAGGGAAAAGCGTAAGGAGAGGGGGGAGAATGAGGTTCAGTCCCTAACCCTGGAGTCGATGTGTTCAGGCCATCAATCTTGTGAATGTACGCATAGGGCCGTAGAGTGGCTTATATACTGTAGTGAGGTGACGTGAAGCAGATGGAGGCGGGTCATAGTGGTACCATACTAGTCGAATAGGTCTTCTTCAAAGGTTGAAACAAGTGTTGAAGAATTCTTTGTAAAAAAGACCCCATGTGTGGGTCTGAGTTGTGATGAATGTTTGAAAAACCGACAAGTTTGGAAGATATTTGTTACGTGTTTGTCACTGATTATAACGCGAAAATCTCATCTAGCTTTTCCCAGAGCTGGGGCGCGTGAAATTATCCTTGAACAGTCACACTGAGTCGCTGGAACAGAAAACTACTGCCCTGGTCCCTAGTTACCTGATGAGTCTTTTGTCTTGCTCCTTAAGGAACTTAGATGCACCTTCTTTCCCATGAGCCAAGGGTCTCTGAGCCTATGGGAACAAAACATTAATGATGGGCAAGTTCTTATTTCTAGAATTTTTTTAACCTGAAGCAGTGGCACTTCCCTGGTATTGGAGACAGGTATAGCCAAGGTAAAAAGGAGTCCACAACTAAAGTCTGTATTAGAATAGGTTTTCGAAATTGTAATTTTTATAGTAAAATCGGTTTAGTAGTGAAGGAAGGCAGGAGGAATGGGGAGTAGTGAGGAGTAGTAGAATGAAGGGGGTTAGGACTGGAATAAGGTAAATGAGAAATGTTAAGGAGGAGGGACATATGATTGGAAGCGGTGGTTTTTGTTTAGAGATGTATAAAGGTGGTACGGGGGCTGGGGGGGAAGGTGCTATAGTCCCTATAAAAGGAAAGGGCAAAAGAGGATGTAAAAATATAGTGGAAAAGTTTAGGGATATCCGGAAGTATACGGTAAGTTAGTTATTATATTGAAGGAATAAGAGTAAGAGGAGATTCGGATGCAAGAAGGAGGTTTTAGGGGTAGGGTATGTGTAGATCAAGTGTTTACATTGAGCATATATGTGAGCAGCATTTAGATAAAGGTAGGAGTTTTTATGCATTTATGATTTGAAAAGGCATATGATAGGGTGGATTGGGGAGCAATGTGGCAGATGTTGCAGGTATATGGGAATATAGTGCTAAGTTACTAAATGCTGAAAGAGTTTTTATGAGATAGTGAGGCTCAGGTTAGGGTGTGTAGAAGAGAGGGAGATACTTCCTGTAAAAGTAGGTCTTAGACAGGGATGTGTAATGTTACCATGGTTGTTTAATAATATTATAGATGGGGTTGTAAGAGAAGTAAATGCGAGGGTCTTGGAAAGAGGCGTGGAGTTAAAAGATAAAGAATCACACATAAAGTGGGAGTTGTCACAGTTGCTCTTTGCTGATGACACTGCTCTTGGGAGATTCTGAAGAGAAGTTGCAGAGATTGGTGGATGAATTTGGTAGGGTGTGCAAAAGAAGAAAATTAAAAGTGAATACAGGAAAGAGTAAGGTTATGAGGATAACAAAAAGATTAGGTGAAAGATTGGATATCAGATTGGAGGGAGAGAGTATGGAGGAGGTGAATGTATCAGATATTTGGGGAGTGGACGTGTCAGCGGATGGGTCTATGAAGATAAGGTGAATCATAGAATTGATGAGGGAAAAGGGTGAGTGGTGCACTTAGGAGTCTGTGGAGACAAAGAACTTTGTCCTTGGAGGCAAAGAGGGGAATGTATAAGAGTATAGTTTTACCAACGCTTTTATATGGGTGTGAAGCATGGGTGATGAATTTTGCAGCGAGGAGAAGGCTGGAGGCAGTGATGTCATGTCTGAGGGCAATGTGTGGTGTGAATATAATTGCAGAGAATTCGTAGTTTGGAAGTTAGGAGGAGGTGCGGGATTACCAAAAACTGTTGTCCAGAGGGCTGAAGGAAGGGTTGTTGAGGTGGTTCGGACATGTAAAGAGAATGGAGCGAAACAGAGTGACTTCAAGAGTGTATCAGTCTGTAGTGGAAGGAAGGCGGGGTAGGGGTCGGCCTAGGAAAGGCTGGAGGGAGGGGTAAAGAGGTTTTGTGTGCGAGGGGCTTGGACTTCTAGCAGGCATGCGTGAGCGTGTTTGATAGGAGTGAATGGAGACAAATGGTTTTTAATACTTGACGTGCTGTTGGAGTGTGAGCAAAGTAACATTTATGAAGGGGTTCAGGGAAACCGGCAGCCGGACTTGAGTCCTGGAGATGGGAAGTACAGTGTCTGCACTCTGAAGAAGGGGTGTTAATGTTGCAGTTTAAAAACTGTAGTGTAAAGCACCCTTCTGGCAAGACAGTGATGGAGTGAATGATGGTGAAAGTTTTTCTTTTCGGGCCACCCTGCCTTGGTGGGAATCGGCCAGTGTGATAATAATAATAAATAATATATATATAATATATATAATATATATATTATATAGATATATATATATATATATATATATATATATATATATATATATATTAAATTATATATATATATATATATATATTATATAATATATATATATATATATATATATAATAACACTTAAAACCTGGACAGACGGTAATCAGGTGGTGTGGGACTACACATGTGCATCTAACTTGGCTGATACCTGTCTCCAATACACAAGGGAGGAAGGAGTGGCAGCTGCCAGCTTCAGGGAGTCCCAAAAGTCTAGAAAATATAGAGAACTTGTCCATCATTATATGTTTGTTCCCATAGGCTCAGAGACCCTTGGCTCAAGATAAATATAGGATAAAGCCTAAGTACCTTTCTCGTACTCAAAATTTTAATCGAAATCTTTGAACAGCATAGGCCCCCCCTACTCATATGGAGGCCTATGTTCATTCATCAACTTGTCGGTATTTTATACCGTCTATACTACTACACAAAAAAAGAGGACCTAGAAATAGAACAATACCTTCTAGATATATTATTTTATTATTATTATTATTATTATTATTATTATTATTATTATTATTATTATTATTATTATGAACAGTACTACTACTACATAATTGGATGTGTAGAGGGAAATTCGATTTGATCCTGGGAAGGGCACAGAAGGTCCAGGTCCTTGTAACAAGATCTTGCCTAGACACATAATCTTAGTTGGTAGAGCAGAATGGCAGAGTTGTGTTCTACTGTGCTTCATGTAAACCGTTTTTAACGTGATTTAATTACTCGACACTCAGACGGCCACAACAGAGTAAAAGAGAAAGCAGACTATCACAGTAGATAAGTGAGACACATGTGCAACAGTCAGGTATTTTTATTCCGAAGGTTTCGCCTACACAGTAGGCTTCTTCAGTCGAATAAAGAGGAGGCAGCAGAAGCAGTCGAGATGTAAAAATGATGTAATTAATCCATTACCCTCGAATATTTTATTTTATCTACTAGTCAGTAATGTATACATTATTATAATCAGAACATCACAGTGTTTTACTAAGTCTTATATATGGTTGGAGAACACGGAATGTTTCTAAACCCAAGACAACAGTGCATCAGTGTTCGCAATAAAGCTAACAGAATTCTTGGATTCATATCTAGAAGTATAAATAATAGAAGTCCTCAGGTTGTTCTTCAACTCTATATATCCTTGGTTAGGCCTCATTTAGACTATGTTGCTCAGTTCTGGTCACCGTATTACAGAATGGATATAAATGCTCTGGAAAACGTACAGAGGAGGATGACGAAGATGATCCCATGTATCAGAAATCTTCCCTATGAGGATAGACTGAGGGCCCTGAATCTGCACTCTCTCGAAAGGCGTAGAATTAGGGGGATATGATCGAGGTGTATAAATGGAAAACAGGAATAAATAAAGGGGATGTAAATAGCGTGCTGAAAATTTCCAACCAAGACAGGACTCGCAGCAATGGTTTCAAGCTGGAAAAATTCAGATTCAGGAAGGATATAGGAAAGCACTGGTTTGGTAATAGAGTTGTGGATGCGTGGAACCAACTCCTGAGTACAGTTATTCAGGCTAAAACGTTGTGTAGTTTTAAAAATAGGTTAGATAAATACATGAGTGGGCGTGGGTGGGTGTGAGTTGGACCTGACTAGCTTGTGCTGCTACATCTGGTGCCGTGCTCCATCCTTGAGTGGAGGGTGACCAGACTGGGTGGGTCATTGGGCTAATCCGAGGTGGGTGGGTCATTGGGCTAATCCGAGGTGGGTGGGTCATTGGGCTAATCCGGGGTGGGTGGGTCATTGGGCTAATCCGGCGGGGGGACATGGACCTGCTTCGCATGGGTCAGTAGGCCTGTTGCAGTGTTCCTTCTTTCTTATGTTCTTATGTACAGAAGCTTAGAATACTAGGATACAGGAAATAATTCATCATTGTATACTTCCAAGCAGTAATATAATCTCGGAATTTTGTATTATGCTGATATGATATTTTGAAATACATGGATGAATGGATGTAACTAAAACTCATCAGTGGATCAAACTTCAAACAAAGCAAAATTATCAGAGAAGTCACAGGTTATATAAATGACTATCGCTCCGCTTCAAGACCTGTTGGTCAGCTCGTACCTAGTATGGGATCCAGAAAAACTCCCTCATATTGCATCATAGTTACTGGTCTGGTCTTGAGTCCATCTCTTCCTGATCTTGTTTTGCGCCCTTTCACAAGACCGTGTCATTAATTCTGTTTATTGCTTGTACATGATCACCTAATGTTGAATATTTTTGTTTTATTCGTACATACTCTTCTGTTCTGTAAAAACTGCTATTGTTCTAATGCCAAAGTGCTGACCATCAACCTGGGTAACCTTAAAAAGAGTGCAAGTGTTCCCTTTCTCATTATAAGCTAGAACCTCCGGAGGCGTTGGCAAGTCTTGCCCAGCCCGGCCTCTCTCTCTCTCTTTCACACTGAACGAACGGCTGACCTTGAGGAGGGCATCCGAGATGTATATATGATCGTAGTTCAGATGGAAGAGACACATTTGAGCCACCACAACCAGTGCAACACAACATGATCACGGTAAGGCAGGTCCTTCCTAGCTCAGGCTGGTGTCCACTACTGTTGACTCACTCTGGTCTAGTACAGATTATGCTCTCTGTGTAAGGATAAACATGACACTGAATTTTCTTTTGTTGAAATGCTTTATTTACCACTGAGCCATTGTTATATTCATGGAGAAGCGCTAAACTTACAAGGGTCATTCAGTGCGTGATGAATGGGAGAGGTTTGGGGTAAGTTTATTTCGGCACAGGTACACATAAGCACAATTATCATATATAGCGTAAATTACCTAGGATAACCCCACAAAAGTTAGACAATCAGGTTTAAGCGAGACGAGCGAGGATCCCTCCAGTTCCTGGATAAAGATAATTTCACCAGCATAAAGCCACTAAAACACTATTGACAAGAATACTGGTACAAATATCTCTAACATTCTTTTCTCGCCAAAGCAAGAATAAGCGAAAGGTTTATTGATATCTTCGTTGGATTCCGCAGATTATCTTCTCACTTCTGGCGGCGGTGGCTGTTGCTGCTCCACAGTATAATATTGGTACCCCGATTCCTGCCCCTGCTCCGATCCCAAGCTATAATGTCCCAGTGCAAGCTCCAGCTCCTGCTCCGGTCCCAAGCTACCGGGCCCCAGTGCAGGCTCCAGCCCCGGCACTAGAGTACGGATCAAAACTCGCGCCTGTGGAGATCCTGAGAGATGATCGCCAAGGACCTGACGCCACTGGAGCTTACAGCTTCGCCTTCGAGACTGCTGACGGTATCAGTCGTCAGGAGCAGGGCACCCCCGAGGGCCCTAATGGAGCCGTGTCAGTCCAAGGAGGATGGTCGTAAGTATCCTTTCTTATATATTTATACATTGTCTTAAATATCATCTTTGCTCTTGAAAGATACGACACTAACAATATTTTTTTTCGCCCGGGTCTTTTCCAAGTAGTGCTGACCCGGCCTTGGCTCCCTATCTAGTTTTTATAAAAACTGTTAGGAGTTCGGATCAGAAACCCATAATTAATATACACTAAGAAGATATATAAACATTTCGATAACGAATGTATGGTCATACAGCCACAGTTTGGGGTTAAATTTGTCGCATCTTCGTGTAAGAACTGGAGTGACAAACCCGAGGATAAAATTACCATTCTCCACAGATTCACTTTTCCCGATGGAACTCCCGGAGTCTTCAACTTTGTTGCTGACGGTGCAGGTTATCGCCCGGAGTCTCCCCTGCTACCCACGCCCCATCCTCTCCCAGCCCACGCCATCGCCCAGATCGAGTTTGCCCGACAGCAAGAAGCTGCCGCCGCTGCTTCTGGAGCAAGTAACCGTTACTCTGCTCCAGCTCCTGACCCAGCCCCTGCCCCGACGAACCAGTATGTAGTTCCTCCCACCGTCCCTGCCCCACAGAGGACTTACCAATCCCCACGGTAAATAAGGACAAGCTATTCTAAAACGATATTTATACCTATAAGAGTGAAATGACACGTGAGAAAACACTGAGACTTATACAAATATGTCCTAGTATTTGCTAATGTGTCTTTTTAAACCAGTTTGTTGGTATCAATTACCAAAGTCTAAGTCTATGGGAGTGTTCATGTTCTTGAGATTCATAGTCTTCATGTTCATGTTCCAGATCATGTTCTTGATGTTCATGTTCTTAAGGCTCATGTTCTTGAGGCTCATGTTCTTGAGGCTCATGTTCTTGAGGTTCATGTTCTTGAGGCTCATGTTCTTGAGGTTCATGTTCTTGAGGTTCATGTTCTTGAGGTTCATGTTCTTGAGGCTCTGTTCTTGATGTTCATGTTCTTGAGGTTCATGTTCTTGAGGTTCATGTTCTTGAGGTTCATGTTCTTGAGGCTCATGTTCTTGAGGCTCATGTTCTTGAGGTTCATGTTCTTGAGGTTCATGTTCTTGAGGTTCATGTTCTTGAGGCTCATGTTCTTGAGGTTCATGTTCTTGAGACTCATGTTCTTGAGGTTCATGTTCTTGATGTTCATGTTCTTGAGGTTCATGCTCTTGAGGTTCATGTTCTTGAGGTTCATGTTCTTGAGGTTCATGTTCTTGAGGTTCATGTTCTTGAGGTTCATGTTCTTGAGGTTCATGTTCTTGAGGTTCATGTTCTTGAGGTTCATGATCTTGAGGCTCATGTTCTTGAGATTCATGTTCTTGATGTTCATGTTCTTGATGTTCATGCTCTTGAGGTTCATGCTCTTGAGGTTCATGTTCTTGAGGTTCATGTTCTTGAGGTTCATGTTCTTGAGGTTCATGTTCTTGAGGTTCATGTTCTTGAGACTCATGTTCTTGATGTTCATGTTTTTGAGGTTCATGTTCTTGAGGTTCATATTCTTGAGGTTCATGTTCTTGAGGTTCATGTTCTTGAGGTTCATGTTCTTGAGGTTCATATTTTTGAGGTTCATGTTCTTGAGGTTCATGTTCTTGAGGTTCATGTTCTTGAGGTTCATGTTCTTGAGGCTCATGCTCTTGAGGTTCATGTTCTTGAGGTTCATGTTCTTGAGGTTCATGTTCTTGATGTTCATGTTCTTGAGGTTCATGCTCTTGAGGTTCATGTTCTTGAGGTTCATGTTCTTGAGGTTCATGTTCTTGAGGTTCATGTTCTTGAGGTTCATGTTCTTGAGGTTCATATTCTTGAGGTTCATGTTCTTGAGGTTCATGTTCTTGAGGTTCATGTTCTTGAGGTTCATGTTCTTGAGGTTCATGTTCTTGAGACTCATGTTCTTGAGGTTCATGTTCTTGAGGTTCATGTTCTTGAGGTTCATGTTCTTGAGGCTCATGTTCTTGAGGTTCATGTTCTTGAGGCTCATGTTCTTGAGGTTCATGTTCTTGAGGCTCATGTTCTTGAGGCTCATGTTCTTGAGGTTCATGTTCTTGAGGTTCATGTTCTTGAGGTTCATGTTCTTGAGGTTCATACTGATGTTTACAAATGCTCATACTGAGTGTTGTGTTAAGTACCTGTATCTTTTATACCTTTATGCCTAAATACACATACATCCTATACGTTAATTTGTCTTTCAGTGTCCCAGGTCCTTGTTAATAAATATATAACACATCACTGGAATAATTAAGCAAACCATCATCATCTGGTTTAGTAAACCAAATAATGGATGGATATTTATATAGTGATATTTCTCACGTTACTATATTAATTTCTATGATATAGCTAAATATGCCGAATTCGTTCTGAAATGTTCATGAAGAGTATGTAATAACTCGCTAATGCTGTTCTTCATGTGGTGTTCACTGCACCACGCTGTTCTTCATGTGTTCACTGCACCACGCTGTTCTTCATGTGGTGTTCACTGCGCCACGCTGTTCTTCATGTGGTGTTCACTGCACCACGCTGTTCTTCATGTGGTGTTCACTGTGCCACGCTGTTCTTCATGTGTTCACTGCGCCACGCTGTTCTTCATGTGGTGTTCACTGCGCCACGCTGTTCTTCATGAGGTGTTCACTGCGCCACGCTGTTCTTTATGTGTTCACTGCACCACGCTGTTCTTCATGTGGTGTTCACTGCACCACGCTGTTCTTCATGTGGTGTTCACTGCACCACGCTGTTCATGTGGTGTTCATTGCACCACGCTGTTCTTCATGTGTTCACTGCACCACGCTGTTCTTCATGTGTTCACTGCACCACGCTATTCTTCATGTGGTGTTCACTGCACCACGCTGTTCTTCATGTGGTGTTCACTGCACCACGCTGTTCTTCATGTGGTGTTCACTGCACCACGCTGTTCTTCATGTGTTCACTGCACCACGCTGTTCTTCATGTGGTGTTCACTGCACCACGCTGTTCTTCATGTGGTGTTCACTGCACCACGCTGTTCTTCATGTGGTGTTCACTGCACCACGCCGTTCTTCATGTGATGTTCACTGCACCACGCTGTTCTTCATGTGTTCACTGCACCACGTTGTTCTTCATGTGCTCACTGCACCACGCTGTTCTTCATGTGGTGTTCACTGCACCACGCTGTTCTTCATGTGGTGTTCACTGCACCACGCTGTTCTTCATGTGGTGTTCACTGCACCACGCTGTTCTTCATGTGATGTTCACTGCACCACGCTGTTCTTCATGTGTTCACTGCACCACGCTGTTCTTCATGTGGTGTTCACTGCACCACGCTGTTCTTCATATGGTGTTCACTGCACCACGCTGTTCTTCATATGGTGTTCACTGCACCACGCTGTTCTTCATGTGGTGTTCACTGCACCACGCTGTTCTTCATATGGTGTTCACTGCACCACGCTGTTCTTCATGTGGTGTTCACTGCACCACGCTGTTCTTCATGTGGTGTTCACTGCACCACACTGTTCTTCATGTGGTGTTCACTGCACCACGCTGTTCTTCATGTGGTGTTCACTGCACCACGCTGTTCTTCATATGGTGTTCACTGCACCACGCTGTTCTTCATATGGTGTTCACTGCATCACGCTGTTCTTCATGTGGTGTTCACTGCACCACGCTGTTCTTCATATGGTGTTCACTGCACCACGCTGTTCTTCATGTGGTGTTCACTGCACCACGCTGTTCTTCATGTGGTGTTCACTGCACCACACTGTTCTTCATGTGGTGTTCACTGCACCACGCTGTTCTTCATGTGGTGTTCACTGCACCACGCTATTCTTCATGTGGTGTTCACTGCACCACGCTGTTCTTCATATGGTGTTCACTGCACCACGCTGTTCTTCATGTGGTGTTCACTGCACCACGCTATTCTTCATGTGGTGTTCACTTCACCACGCTGTTCTTCATATGGTGTTCACTGCACCACGCTGTTCTTCATGTGTTCACTGCACAACGCTGTTCTTCATGTGGTGTTCACTGCACCACGCTATTCTTCATGTGGTGTTCACTGCACCACGCTATTCTTCATGTGGTGTTCACTGCACCACGCTGTTCTTCATATGGTGTTCACTGCACCACGCTGTTCTTCATGTGGTGTTCACTGCACCACGCTGTTCTTCATGTGGTGTTCACTGCACCACGCTATTCTTCATGTGGTGTACACTGCACCACGCTATTCTTCATGTGGTGTTCACTGCACCACGCTGTTCTTCATATGGTGTTCACTGCACCACGCTGTTCTTCATGTGGTGTTCACTGCACCACGCTGTTCTTCATGTGGTGTTCACTGCACCACGCTGTTCTTCATGTGGTGTTCACTGCACCACGCTGTTCTTCATGTGGTGTTCACTGCACCACGCTGTTCTTCATATGGTGTTCACTGCACCACACTGTTCTTCATGTGGTGTTCACTGCACCACGCTGTTCTTCATGTGGTGTTCACTGCACCACGCTGTTCTTCATCCACATACTAGGCTCAAAGAGTAGAAATTTACTAATTAGTTAACAATTTGTGGTCATGTACATTTTCCCTGGACAGTAATCCGTTAACATTTTATTTGATAAATAACTACGCTATTGCTCGGGAGAAATAACTAATTCGTTTGGAAATTGTTTATTGAGAAATACCTGGAGTATACCTTGAGAAGGTTTGGGGGGTAAACGCCCCCTCGGCCCGGTCTATAAAAAAATATTTTGTAAATATTGTCGGTTAGACTAGGCTGGATAAAATTAGGTTAGGTTAGGTTAAGATAGGTTAGGTTAAGATAGGTTAGGTTAGGTTAGGTTAGGTTAGGTTAAGATAGGTTAGGTTAGGTTAGGTTAGGTTAAGATAGGTTAGGTTAAGATAGGTTAGGTTAGGTTAGGTTAGGTTAGGTTAGGTTAGGTTAGGTTAAGTTAGGTTAGGTTAGGTTAGGTTAGGTTAGGTTAAGTTAGGTTAGGTTAGGTTAGGTTATGTTAGGTTAGGTTAAGTTAGGTTAGGTTAGGTTAGGTTAGGTTAGGTTAGGTTAAGATAGGTTACGTTAGGTTAGGTTAGGTTAGGTTAGGTTAGGTTAGGTTAAGTTAGGTTAGGTTAGGTTAGGTTAAGATAGGTTACGTTAGGTTAGGTTAGGTTAGGTTAGGTTAGGTTAAGTTAGGTTAGGTTAGGTTAGGTTAGGTTAGGTTAAGTTAAGTTAAGTTAAGTTAAGTTAGGTTAGGTTAGGTTAAGATAGGTTAGGTTAGGTTAGGTTAAGTTAAGTTAAGTTAAGTTAAGTTAAGTTAAGTTAAGTTAGGTTAGGTTAGCTTAAGTTAGGTTAGGTTAGGTTAGGTTAGGTTAGGTTAGGTTAAGTTAAGTTAAGTTAGGTTAGGTTAGGTTAGCTTAAGTTAGGTTAGGTTAGGTTAGGTTAAGATAGGTTAGGTTAGGTTATGGTTAGGTTAGAGTTATAGTTAGGTTAGGTTAGGTTAGGTTAGATTAGGTTAAGTTAGGTTAGGTTAGGTTAGGTTAGGTTAAGTTAAGTTAAGTTAAGTTAAATTAAGTTAAGTTAAGTTAAGTTAAGTTAAGTTAAGTTAAGTTAAGTTAGGTTAGGTTAGGTTAGCTTAAGTTAGGTTAGGTTAGGTTAGGTTAGGTTAGGTTAGGTTAAGTTAGGTTAGGTTAGGTTAGGTTAGGTTAGATTAGGTTAAGTTAGGTTAGGTTAGGTTAGGTTAGGTTAAGTTAAGTTAAGTTAAGTTAAATTAAG